AAACCTGTTTTATAAGGCTAAGCCATAGCTTTAGGAATTATCTCTCTTTTCCAGTCTGCTATGGCGCAAACATGAGAAGATGACACAAAACAATGTGAACTCTGAAGCAGTAGCTACCAGAGATTTTTTTTGGGACTTACACATTTACTGTCATAACAAATCTCATTATCAAGCAGGGGAATACTTTTCCTGATATGAGCTTGCAAAGAAGGATGAATTAGGAATTTGAAATATTCTTTGTCTATAAAATACCAAAACACACTTTGAGTACTTTATAAAAAGGTGTACGTGAAAATGCCTCCTACATCAGAAATCAAAGGACAACCTCAATGCCCTTAAATCATTCAACACACAACCTATAGCAAAGTTTAGCTTTCAGCAGTTTTTTCCTCTTCAGGAAGACAAGACCTTCAAGAGTATGACTATTTTAACCATTCACATATTCATAAAATATTGCCATGTTGGTGAAGTATCTTGTTGCAGAACTGCATACACTGAATATGCTGTAAAATATCACATTTTGCCTAATGCCTTACAAACCTTAAGAGGCAACAAGGCAGGAAGAAAATAAAATTCAGCAATAAACCAAATGCATGTTATTACCATGTATAACCCCTTTCCCAGTTTAGCCTCCTTCCCTTTGGTCTTATGTTAGGATGATCAAAAAATGTGCCTGTTTCTTCAAGAGACAGAAATCATTTGATTAAGTGGGCATAAAAGAATTTTTTAATCAAGCAATATCTCATGACACTTCTCTCTTCCAGCAGTCATCATCCTTCAGACCCAAACTCTAGAGATATTTTATAAGCCACTCAACAGCCAGAGCTCTTTTTTTTTTTTTTTTTTTTAAATACTATTCATTGGAACTACCCAACACAGTAACTCACAATACCAACAGAAATTGAGAGCACCGGAACAGAAAGCAAGAGTCAGCAATTTCAGAAGCACCTGCAAAGAAGTGGGATATCCTGTTCAAAGACTCGAGTGAGATGACAAGAAATCAGAGAATCCAATAGCAAAGACTGGGCAACATTCAAATAACTAATGAAAATTTCAAATCCAAGAGCAAGCAGAGCTAAGTAAACTCAGCATGACAGAGCAAAGCTGCTCTGAAACTCATTATTAGCAATAAGAAATCATTTAAGAAATCTGCAAGCCGTGAATCCAAATAGGTGTACGTAATTGTATAATTTGGTTACAAAAATGCAGGCTGCAGAAGACAAGTTCTTTACTGAAAATTACTGACTCTGGACTACAAACAACATGCACTTCTGTCTCCAGATGTAGCTCAGTCCTGGAGCCCCTTCATGCCAGGCTCCCTACAACCAGGTCATCCCTTTTACTCTCTTTGAAAGAATCCAGTGTATCTTCATTACAACGGGCAATGAGCAAGTGAAAAACAGCTTGAGAAACTGAAATTGCTATATCATGGATGTCCTGCACAATCAGCAGAGATGAGTGAATCTCTGTCCATAGCAGGTCAGAACCTTGCTCCCACTGAAAATCATAGCAAATCTCACAAATTTCCATGTAAATACTTAATTTTGATACTTAGATGTATCAAAAATGGATAATGATAATACAGGCAGTGGGGAGGGACACTTACACATTCCCACATTCTAACAAAGAATATGCCTGCACAGTACTGGCTAAAGGAAAATATTACGAACCTTGTGGTTTCTCATGTGTTTCTTACAATACCAAAATATGGCTTAAGGCACGGAGTTAAAAGGTCCTTAAAATGTCCAAGTCCTTCTTTTAAACACAAAAATAGTAGATTAGCCTTCACTGAATGTCCCTGACATAGAGGACTCTCATCTTCTAATACACTTATTTATGCAACAGTAAATTAGGTGCCCATTGCTAAGATCCTGGATTGCATAAATGATAATACAATATTAGTGTACTTTTAGGAGTATCTTATCTTGATTATTCTATACAATAAGTGCTGTGCAGCTACTAACAGGCGCCCTTTGAGGAACAGAGAAATTGAAATACAGGAGTGTCACAGATACCAGTAATGACTCTATGCTGCAATGGAATTAAAATTAAAAACCCAAAGTCACGTGAATTCTCCAATGTCCACTATACATTGTACATTAAGACATTAATGGCATGAAGATGTAATAGCCTACATTTGCCTTGTGCTGTGTTCTGAGGTTCAGCAATCCTGGACAACTACAATTGTGAGCACATTAATTATGTTTTTTAAGCAATTACATTCCTGGTTTCTAGGATGAGTAAATAGACTATTTTCTTTACTATTTAATAGTAAAGCATGCAGGTATAGAAGTCACTCGACTCTGATGGCAATGGCCCAAAAACCCCAAAACAAACAAAACAAAGGAAGTTGCTAGAGAAAAATCTCAACAAATGCTGAAAACAAGCCATTACTTTTTAGAAATCTGCCATTCATCACATCTAAGTCACTTCTGCCCTCAATTATCTCCTTTCCCCTCCTTTATTCATATTATCCTCTGGCTGAACTCCATCATAAGCCTGATCTGCAAGGGCCACGCTTTTCTTCTGCATTCCTCTGCATGATCATCTTCATTTGCCTTTGTGCAATTCTGAACTCAGGCTTGCATCCTTCTTGTTCAACTTCTGCCCTTCCTGCAGCTAAAGCTTTCATCCAGGAATTAAGGAATCCAATCCGATTTAATGCAACTTCCTTTTCTCCAGCTTATCTCTCTCTCCCCCCCCCCCCCAATTTTTCTCTTTATCCGATTCAAAACACAACTACATTGTTTTATATAATTCAACTACAGCCTTGTTGGCTAGTCCTCTGAATGCACCCTCCCATTCAGGTATCTTTGTTTTTCTAGGCATGGTTGCTAGTCCTTCACTCACCAGGGATTCTTCTTGAATGCTTTTACCTCCTCAAAGAAGCATGCTCCCTTAACTAATCCAGAAGGCTGTTAGCTTTGGTTTGAAATCTCTATTCAAGACCATCTTTTTAAACTATCAAATACAGCTGTTCAAAGACTATTAGTAATGGATAGAACATGGAGACAGTAAGAGTGTATTTAATCATTAAACAATCAAATATATATGGAAATGTTATTGATGAGGAGGACACCTCTGTTCCCCTACTCTTTATACACCACTGACTGTTAACTCTTCAGGGCAGGCATGGGTGTCTCTTCATGTACAAGCAGAATCCAGCATCTTTATACTTCATGTGCCATTCACTAGACACCCAAAAGCACCACAGAAGTTCATTCTGTGAAGTTAGTCCATAACTTTGATAAGCATCTTCCTAAATGCAGCTCCTACACAACTCCAGCTAAGCAAAGTCAGCCACGCTGCTGGTCCATTACCGGCGAGCTGACTCAGATTCCTGGGCAAGGGATGCAACATCCTGCAATTAGGATGTAACCATGCTCTGTGCCAGAATCACATAAAGTCTCTTCTGCTTCACTCGGTTCGGCCTGCTTGGCAATTTTTTTTTGTCCAAAGCACTGTCAGCTACTGTATCCTTCCATGAATAACAACCATCAGATACCATGGAAGAGGCTGGGAATATTTCAAGCAGCAGCAGGGAAACTTCTTGATCAGGAAGAAAAGTTGTAGTAGCTTCCACATTTACAGCAGAGCTTTTACACATTAACATTGGTTTACTGTGGAAGTTGTGAAATAAACGTATTTAACCCTTTTCAAACCATCCATGTTACTATTCACTTAAGTAGATCAGGATGACTTGAAAATTTTATGAGCATAAGATTTGGGGAATAAAAGCTGAGACATTCAGAAGAACAAAACCCATTAATTAGCAGTTTGTTCTGTAAGATCAGTATTTTAAGCCTAATATTAAAGCTAAATGCAACCATTACTAAGTTTAAAACAGACATATCACGAAGTGTTTGAACTTGTGACTTTTTGAAGGTCTTCAAAGAATCCTGAAATCCTGAAACTCTGAAAGGAGTTGTTTTTTCTTCTTTGAACAAAGCATTATGAACTTTGAGAACAGTATTTTATTGTACCATAAATACGGTCTTCATATATGAAAAATCTTTATGTAGAGTAAGTTACATTCAGAGGCAAATACATATATTATGAAGAGCTTGTTTATTATTTTATGAAACAAAGGGAATGCAAGATGTCCGTTCTTAAACTTCATGGATTATAAAAAAAGAAATATGAGACAATTTTTCACGTATTTGGTTTCTTAAACACACAGTAGTCAATTTGAAAAGGAGGAAACAGAGGCCTGCAACTCATCTTGTATGTCAGCAGTCACCTCAAATGCTCAGATTTTATGTTCTACGTCTATAACAATATGTACTCAATGTTTCTTTCCTTCAGATGTAACAGCCACGTGCCACCTCAAACAAAAGGGGTCAAGATGAAAATTACTGTTTTGTAATACAAAATTAGGTTGTTAAAAGTTATAAGGATTTGGCTTCATAGAACCAAAACATGTTCTTTAACACAAACAGAGCCAGACTAATGGTCGGACTAGATGATCTTAGAGGTCTCTCCCAACATTAATGACTCTATGAGTCTATGGAATTTGAAAATATACCCCGAGTTGGGTAGCAGGCAATATGTAGCGTGTTTAGCTCACATGTTACATTTCAAGTAATTCCCTTCAGATATACAATTTCTATTTTTAAAAACACATCCGAGTCCACAGAACACAAACCCACCCTGCCCACGCTGCAGCCAGAAGCCGAAATTAAGCCGCAGCCCCGCTGTCGCAAAGACAGCGCAACTTTCATTTTGGTGCCCCGGCCGCCGCAGGCAGGGGGCTGTGCCCGCCGGGCCCCGCTGCCGCCCGAGGAGGGCATTAACACGCACGGGGACCATCTTCACTGATTCCAGCGCCCTTGCACAGCGCCGGCGCTCCCCGCGCTGCTGCGGGAAACCGAGCCGCGCGTCGGGCCGAGCATCGCTTCGCACCGAGCGTACCCCCGGCGGTGCCAGCACCCCGGGCGGAGGGTGCGGGAGGCTCCGCTCCGCGCCCGTTTGCGGGGCCGCTCCCCCCGCCCGGCGCTTACCTGTGCCCGCGCCGCCTCGCTCCGCACCCGCGTGCTCAGCGCCGGCCAGCGCGCCCCGCCGCCGCCCTCGCCGGAGACCAGCCGCAGGGGCCTGATGCTCTCTCGCTCCGCGAAGGGGCTCTCGCCCCGCCGCCCCGCTGCCGCTGCCGCCGGCCCGGCGCCTCCTGCGCAGGGGAGAGGCACTGTCACCCGGCTGCGCCCTCGCCCCCGGCGCGCAGGCTGCAGCGGGGGCTCCGTTTCCATGGGGCTCCGCAGCAGCCTCGGCGCAGCGTCCCCCCCTCCCCGCCGCCCCCGCCACTCACCTGCGGCCGCTGCCAGGGCGCCGAGCGCCAGGCAGAGGAGGCAGGCGGCAGCCCGCATGGCGCTGCCCGCCGCCCCGCTCGCCGCCGAGCGCCGCCGGCTCCGCGCCTGCACGGGCGGGGGGGCTGCGGGGCCGCGGCTGCCGCGGGGCCGGGGCTGCCGAGCTCCGCCCCGCCGCCGCGCCGAGCCCCCTGCCAGCGAAGGAGATGGCGAGAGACGGCGAGGCTCCCCGCGGAGCCCGCTCGGAAGAGGGAAGTGCTGGGAAATGTAGTCGCTCGCCAGGACGCGAGGGAGCGGGGCGAGACCGGAGGGGAAGCCCCGGAGCCCTGGCAGCGCCGCAGGGATTCTGCAGTCGCCCCCGCCCCGTAGGGCCGCCCCGGTACCGCACCGCTCCGGGGCTGAGAGAGCCCCCGCCGCAAAACTTGCCGTCACTGACAGCTGCGGGTGAGGGCGGCGGCTCTCTGGGGGGGCAGCCGGGGCGTTTTCCCTCCCTCCCTGCCCATACCGCCGTCAGCCCCGCTCTCCTCCTTTACGTGCTCATTTTCTGAGCAAACCTTCATTTCCTTCTCTATGACATTTTTTGTTCCCTTCTTAAATTTCTACTCTCTCCTCGCTCTTTTAACAACGAGAGTAGGAAAGGATTACAAGGCAGAATCGTTCCTTTCACGTTACAGCATGCTCTCCTGGACTAAGCAAGGGGCCGAGGTGTCAAGGAGTCCCCACGATATCCATTCCCTGAAACGCGAGAATAATTCTCCCTCAGCGGAGGGATTGGCTGCATCTGCAACCCAATTCTACACTCCCACCTACCGGGAAGCCGGGAGCAGCGGTGCTGCCTTTCAGCACGGTGTATCTCCCCTTCCCTAACTACATTTCTTTAGGAAAATGGGACAAGTGAGGCACCTCTCCTCGCCGTTTTCGGAAGGGTCGATAGCAAGGACGGCCATGCACGCAGCTGAGGTGAGCGGAGGGAGGAGGAGGCACCTCAGGGCAGCGGCAGTGTAGCTCACTACCGATCCAGGCAAGGGAATACGAAGTCTGACTACCCACTGCAAGGCTTGTACCAGTTGTAAACATATAATAAAGGAGGAGGTGGCATCACAGATAATGCCACTGAAAGCTGCTGCTCACTGTAGTCTCAAAGATTAAAAGAACAAACAAACAAACAAAATATCTTAAACCCATGATGCAGATCAATTTTAATTGAACTGCCTGCACCGACAGCAGCCAGGACACCTGGCACTTCCATTTCTGCTCTTAGGAGCGTTTCCACCCGCCGGGCTGCCTTCTGCCTTCTAGGGCTCCCCAGGGAAGGACCGGGATCCGGGCACAGCGGCTCGGCAGTGCCTGCCTGGCTCCCCGGGGCCGCCCGACGGGGAATGCCGGCGCTCCTGGCCCGATTTCTCTGTAGGGCTTATCTTACTTACATATATAATCTTATTAAAGGAATCAATTAGAGGATAGATGGAGGAAATTCAGTTTCTCAGAGTTTGTTTCTGTGATATGAAAAGAGACAAAATGACAGTCCAGCAAGCTGAAGATAACAGCATAATATTGCATGTGGAAATATATAGTAACTTTGAGAAGAAAGTGGTTAGTAAGTTTTGTGCTGTCCTGATTATACTGCTGTCAGGTACTACAGGCAAGATACAATGCTACCTCAAAGCATCCATTAAATCCTGAAGCAGCTGCTGAAACAGTGCAAAATTAGCTTATAAAACTCTTGTGTGGGGTGTCAAAAAGACCATGGGCGAGTTGGGTAAAGAAAATGAGAAAGTGCTATTTATAGCAAAGGAAAAAAAAAAATCAATATTATAATATGATGCTTCATTTTTACAGAAGTCATAAGTCCTTACATTTCAGGCTGCAGCCAACCTGTACAGTTATTTCAGTTAGACCAAACTTTCCCCACTGGCACACTATTTCACAGCTGCCTCTGTCAGTCTTTCTGTGAGAATTCATGACATTGGGTATATATTACACAGCAGATACACAGTACAGTTATACACTCATTTCCTGGATCAGTACATCACAGAATTCATTTTTCTCTTGCTCACCAGTGTTCAGATTTAGTGTAGGTGTTACACATGGAAGGTTTACCAACTCAGCACCAGCCAAAGCTTGGCTGCTTTAAGCTAACTATGAATGCAGAGTTTTATCCAGTCTGTGCCCTCAGTGGATATGGTGAGGTATGATACATATGTTTCATAAATGCAGTCCTGTTTTTAGTATGCCAACTCTATATTGGTCAAACCCTTCACTGATTTTAAGAATAATATTTATAACTTTTTTTTTTTTTTTAGAAATGCAGCCAACTAATACAACGATAAAGGCATTTTAAAAGTGTGTGTGCTAGAATCAATTAGCCAAAACACAGTTGAAAAAGGTTTTACACTCCTCTCCTTGCAAGCCTCTCTCATTTATATCTTCAACTCTTTGGCTTATTTATTTATCACTTCTGTGGTAAACACTAAAGATTAATGCTAAAGAGAAAACTTAAATTGCAGAAAAATTCCATGTTATGCTGAAGGATCCAAATCACAAGGATGTGATTTGGATCCTTCAACATAATATGGAATTATCTGCAATTTAAGTTTTATGTATGTCTGAAATCCGTTCTAATTGTACACATTGATTAGAAAGGAATGATTTGACAGGCTTAATTCTTCAGAGAAATATTTAAATTTCACTGATGGTGATTTCACATTCATTTGGGAAATCAGACAGCGAACATCGAGATTCACCTCCTAGTTTTACTTTCCTGGTAGATCCTCAAAATTGCTGAGGACTGTGGCAGACTATACATCTCTGAGCAACAAGCTCTTTCACATCAGGGGACAGATTTTTTTCTTCTTCTAGCAACTCATGGAATATATCATGTTGGAAGACATCTGTGAGACTCATAAAGTCCAACTCCCTTCTCTTCATGGAACTATCTAAAAATACATCCAATCATTTAACTCTTGACATGGGGACTGCTTCCCTGAGGAGCATGTTCTGGTGACTGATCACCCTCTCAGTGAAAAACCTTGTCCTGATGTCCAGTCTGAACTTTACCAGTTGCAGCTTCCCGCCATTTCCTTGTGTCCTATCTCTAGTTCCCAGAGAGAGGAGACCAGCACCTCCTGCTCTACTGCCTGTAGTACTGAAGGTCACAGAGATACTCTGGGGTTTGTGGCCAGCTATCCACATACTCAACAAATATTTAACACTGAATCTTGAAGCAAGATCTCCGCTCAAGAAAACCAAAATACAACAACAATAAAAAAAACCAAAAAAAACCCAACACAAATCAAAAGAAGAAACCAAAAAAACCACCCCCACCAAAACCAACCCCAAACAAAAATATTATAAACAGCATCTGAATCTACAGCTTCTTTATCGCAAATGAAATTGGATAAATGAAATGAAATACACCCACACACCTGCTTTCCATCCCAAATCTTTTTATAGTGCTATATCTGGGGTGCTCAGCATTTATTTTGGATAGCTGCATTATCTAAAGCAAAGAACCAAAAAGTAGAATTCATGGTAAAAAAACCTCAAATAATCTCAAATTATTAATCTCATGTCACCTTCAGAGATGGTAAACTTGTTAATGGACTTTACTCACATTTATCTTCACCTGCTTCAGATTATCAGTGGTGACTCTGGTATTGCCAACAGGATTTACTTCTGGTTTTGCTATTAAGAGCAAGCATCAATAATCTCTTTACAGGGTCCAGAGGACTAGCTATGCTAAGAAATAAATTTTGGTATTAATTTTCTAGTCCACCTACATATATTCCGTGTAAGTTGTACAATTGCTCTGGATCAGTTGGTTGCTAAAATTTCCTCTCATTTGTCTCCAAGAGTGGTGATTAGATGCATATAGAGGTTACAGCTAAATCTGAGTGGCAGTAAGCACTTGAAAGAAAATAGCTTATTTTCCAGAGTATTTACAAGAGATGAAACATAATGGAAAAAATGAGAGGGATAAAGGGGAGACCATTTCCTGCTCTGATGCAAGTAACATCCAAACTAGTCACGCAAGGATATGAATGCTTGATCACATTTAATTGTAGTTTTATCTTACACTTCACTATTTCAGGAACTTCCCATAATTCTTTACACAATCTAATTGCATGTCTTAAAGTTCTCAGATTCGAAGCATCTAGAGAATGAAACTAGGGCAAGGAAGTGCTTTCCTCCTTTTGTAAGACCGGTATAAGACCAAGTTAGGCTGTGATTTGATGCTCCTGTGGTATCAAATGTCAACATGATCAAAAAGCCCAGCATGATCAGTCTTTATCAGCCCCTTCTTTATCAGCCAATGGCCTAGAGGCCATGGAAAAAGATTCTCCAGCTGGGGAACATGGAGGGATTCATATTTTTATCCTGTGTCCACATGCCCCAATGTAATTACACTACTTAGAGCAGCTACAATTTTTTCAACATTCCTTCACTCAGAGGCTGCAACAAGAGCTTCACAGACACCATCACCAGCTACATTAGCTGAGTGCATCAGAGCTGAGCCTCATCAGATGTGGGATGAAGGTGCAAACACCCTCACAGGTACATCTGAGAAGCCAAAACCTCAGGTTGTAACTAACTTCCCAGCAATGCTGACAGGAAAGCCAGCCCTACAGTCACCTCTTGCTTTGTGTCAAGTGTTCTGCAGCTGGACATTGTGCAAGAGCTGCCCATAGGAATGCTGCTGCAGAGCACGGGGCTTACCTGAGTGCATCAATCTCACAAGTTCCTGCAGAACCTCCTTATGTGTGAGTGGTGTTTGCATTGCTAATCCCCACAGGAGTGTGTTCATACACCCCCGTGCACATATACATGGATTGGGAACTGTTTCCTCTCCTTATAGCCACACTATAGCTTACCTGAATAGACACAACAGTTCTGGCCCACAGTCACAGAAACCAATTCAAAAATTGTGCATTAGAAAAATCCTTATGAAGAAAGTTCAAACTGTAATTATATAATATCTAATTATTGCAAATATATACAGATAAAGAAAGGTTTGCTACAAGAAGTGCAGTTTTAGTGACCAAAGATGTAGTCTTTGTCTGAACTGTTTGACATTTCTCACAATCACTACCACATATTTTGAAAGTACTCAATTCTCTTCTCTATGAGGAAATCAGAGAGACACAGATGTTCTAGTAACTACCCATCCACATTTATTTTTTCAAATTGTAACATAAATACATTTTAAAAACTGTGGTTTGGGGTTTTTTTAAACAAGCTTAAAAGATAATAAATACATTAAAATAATTAAATATGCTGAGTAAATCTGTTTTGGAAATAGTTAATAGGCTTGCTGTGGCTTGTAATACCAACTGAACATATCCCTGACAAAGGGGACTCCTTAACACTCACTGAAGTGACCAGTAAACAAAACCTGCGTCATGACTAGAACTGCTTTTTGCAACCAGTAGCAGCGACTCTCCTAATCTTGTTCTGGGTTACAATGAATAGTCTTCATATTTTAATGACAAACCTCAGATTCTTTTTTTCCCTTTAAGATTCTAAAGCCAGATTCCAATGTGTTCAAAACTTGTCTTAGCAGTGCCTGTTGAGCCTACATGTTCTGGGACTGCATTTAATCATATGCAAAACACACACACCGTTTATCTGATTTACTAACAGTGACCTCTTCCACTGTTCACCCTTATCATTGCAGCAATCCTTATGTGTCTCAATAGCCATGTACATACATCCCAGGTGGAGGCCACCAGGGCAGCTAAGGAGTGTGTGCCCAGGGATGGAAGCAGGCAGAAGCAAGATATTGGCAGATTTTTGCAATGCTTTAGGGGAAAATGCAATTTTTCTTTAATTTTACTTTCAAGACTGAACCAAAAGCTAGAAAAAACCCACACCCAGAGAAACTCCAACCAACTAAAAAAAGAAAAAAAAACAAACCAAAAAACCTACAAAAAATCCTCCAACCCAAGAAAATTATCTCAATAGAAGAAAAACAGTCAAAACACTTGTTCCTAAAATATACTGAACTCACTGAACCAGAAAGCAATCACTAAAGTGTCATTCAAAATGAAGAACAAAGTAATTGCTTCAATCTTCTACTTCTAAGTCTCAGTCCTAGAATATTATATATTGGTAATTTACAGGCAAAAAATAAATACAGATATGCACATTCAAGATCAACTCTTTAAAATGTTAATTTTGCTCATTTCTGTAATGGCTTTCTGTATTTTCTGGATGTGAATCCAGATCAGAATTAACTATAAATCAATCCAGAAGTAACCAGTAAGATGGAGAAGCCAAAAGCACTCCTCACCAGACTGTACATGCAATTACATTAACAGAGGAATAAGGAATGTCACTTTTAAAAGGTGACAGTAACACCCTAAGCAACTACTTCCGTCATTAAGCTTCCAATTCATATCCCTGTAAAGGAAAGCAATTTTATATCATTTTCCTCACCCATTCCTGCATTCCAAGCAGTTCTACCTACCCCTCACAGAAAACAGACAATATAAAGGACAGACAATAGCCTGCAACACAAAAGCACTTTAACTGTAAGAGCACCAAATTTGAGAATACTAAATGGGCAAGAAATGAAAATGCAAAAAATTTATACAAAAATTAATAAAAGTAATATCTGTGATTGAGATATCGTATATGACCTTAAGGTACTCTACATTTATTAATAAAGCTGTGCCTCTTTTAATTTCATACTTGTGCTCTCTCGTGACTTAGAGATACAGAAATTCTGAAAGAAATCAGCTCTGGTAAAGAACTGCATTATTAAAAAAAGTCTTCCCAACTCTCACTTGTGTCTTTCACTCAGATTCTGAGTAAAGCAAATCTGACAGGCTGGCTACTCTGAAAGAAAAATCAAACAAATTACCCAAGTCAATCAGAAACCTGCCAGTCCTGTTGGTTTCCTGGTCATTTGTTTTCCCCCAATGAAAATATATGCATCTGCTTTCTTATTAGCTGAAATACACAATAGAGGTACTTTTAATTTAAGAATAATACATCAGAGTAGTCAAAGAATGTAATACATCTTTGTTACTGTGTTCTCTATTAAAGCAGCAGAAGAAACAGAAAAGGGAAGCAACCAAATACAGGCAAAACATCAGTAATCCATGAGTACTGGGCTACTTACAGTGAAACATCCATTATTTTTAATGTGGTTACTTGGAATGTATCATAGTCAATGATTTTAGGAAATTATCTAAATGCATCAGCATCATGCTTTGCCTAGCAATTCATTTAATCGAAATGTGGGGTCAGAGCCACACCAGACACAATAAAGCAGCATCTTTAAAAAAACCCCAAAACACATGACCAAAGTCAAACTTAGTTTTATTTTTCACATTTATTTACATATACAGAAGCTTTTGTGTTAAAAAACTTGAAAACCAAATAATCTGTACAAAAAATACAGCAATTTAAGTCTTCATTAATAGAATCTTAAATTTTCAAGTCTATTAAAAAAATCATTATATTAAATAAATCAGCATCAAAATCCAAAAAATGGGGATGAGGATGAAGAGGAAAATAATGACCACAAAACATTTGCATTCTGCCCTTCACATGTATCATTTATGCTTATTGAACATTTGTTCTCAGTGTAACTTGAAAAACCTCCAAATTCTGAGTTTCTTTCACTTGTCTGAAATAACTCCAATAGGGTCTGCAGTGATGAGCTACAAGCACTTCTCTTCTCTTCAGGAACAGACAGTCCATCTGAATTCTTTACACATAACTCCATATTCTGTGTCCGGGTTTCTCTTTTATTCTTTCTCAAATTAAGCTTCACTTTTCTGCGCAGCTTTCCAGACGGTGAACTGTGGGCAGTGCTGGCAGCTGATGCATTAAGTTCTTTGTTTACAGCAGTATCAGATACCTCAGCCTCCAGAACGACATTGTGCTGCATTTGTTGATGATTATCACATAAATCGTGATGTTTCTTGACAAATGTAGGATTGGCATCTGCTTTTTTCAAACACTTTGCTGGTAGAACTACTGAATTATTTAATTTTCTTTTCTGCTGCAGTAAGTTTCTGTCTTTTTCACTAAAATCTGTAACTTGGGTATGAGAATATAAAGCATCCATTCCTTCCTGAAAACACTGCACATTCTTTTTACTTACATCTAGTTCCATTATTTCCTTGCTGAACAGCTCAGAAGCTCGAGACAAGTCCTCTGTGTACACTTTGTCAGTTTTCTGAAGGGGTGGTTGTATGGAATTTGATGATACAGCAGTCTCTTGTAACTTCACAGCACAGGAGTGATCAGTCTTAATATTTCCATTATTAATTCCGAACTTACTTTTTAGTTCTGAACGTTGTGATGGGTGACAATAAAGAACTGAACAGACAGATGCAGAAACAGGGGTAGGTACTGACACAGAATTTGGTCGTACTTCTGCAGGCTGGTGATCCAGTTTGAGAGCCTGCATTGCAGTATCCTTCCAGGAGTAAGTTTTCAAAGCAATGCGTTGCTTTTTCAGTTGTTCTTTCAGCTCATCTGGTCTGGTTATCTTTCCAATAATAGGAGAAAAATATCCTGTGCTACATTTTGTCCTACAATGAAATTGTTTAAAAATATTAACAAACATAAAAAGCCCCACAGAACGTAACTCCACATGCAACTGAGTCTAGAAAAGCAATTGAACTGACAAAGGAGCTTTTTTTGACTCCTCAAGGAAAGATTTATTTAGAGTAGAAACACACTATTTCTACAGGACCAAAGTGCCTTATAATTTTGATGTTTTCTTACCGATTTCTACAGCTCATGATGTTTTAAAAACACACAAAGCAGTCTAGTATTTCACAAAATCTCAATTTAGAGTGGCATTAGGAACAAAATAAATTAATTACTATAATGCAATGACTATAAATACTTACAAATATTCTGTGATATTTACACACAAAATTAACATGATCTTCTTGACAGGATTTCAAGCCTAACAACTCTGAGTATTTTGAAACCACGAAAGAAATAAAGGCTTGCTTTTATTAGTCTATCAGTTGTTTGATTCTATTTCCATTTCCTTTGATTTCATTAAGAATACCTTTATTTCTTCATTACTTGCCTTTTTTTCGTAAATAAACAAGGAAGTTATTCCTTATCTCCTGACTCATTTGCAAAAAATCAGAGCAACCTTGAATAATGTTCCTGCTTTACATAACAAAGACCCTGGTGCCTACAGTCCCAGACACCAAACAAGCCTTTCTTGCCTCTCAAGCTCTTGAGCACAAAGAAAGGAACATTTGCTTCTCTGTCCTGTACAGGCAGCACAGAAGCAAAGAGGTTTAGAGTACAGGTAGAAGCTCTTCCACAGGTAAGGAGATCAGATTGATTAATTTGCTGTCCTTAGACTATTAAGTATGACAGAAATCATTCAGAACAAGATGTCCAGACATAGATATTGCTCTCTTTCTGTTAGCAATATTTCAGTGCAGCAGATTTTGTGTTAGAGGAGCTGAAGATAAGTAGGACAACTTGTAGCAACTTTCAGTCTCAACTTTCTCTGATGTCATCTGCACTTTTGATTTTTTTTTCCCATGTTCTGCTTTACAGAACTGATTTGCCACATACAACTTCACAGATATTGTCCATTATTTATTTCAGCCTTAAAAACATGAATTAATCCTCTTCTACTCAGATCAGGAATTTCAAAACTATCTTTATGTTCAATGTCCTGACTCATAGAGTCTTTAGAATTTATAACATGTAACTCACCTTTTTATTTTTCCTGTATCATCATCTTTGTATGGAACAAACTCATAAACTAACTTTGAGATTATATCATCAACAACTTTATACTGTGTGCTTTGTGCAAAATTTTGGTGCCGCTCACTTTCAAGATGCTGCAATAAAGAAAAAACATTAAATAAGTCTAATATTACAGATATGAATACACAAGTCAACAGCACAAGGAGCCAAGTAAATATCATTAATTTACTACCAGCATCACTAAGACATTAATTACTAGTACCTACAGCTGTCAGAGATAGGTTTTAGTTAATTGCTGCTTCTAACATAGGAAAAAATATTACTTTGCTGGTTTTTCAGAAAAATACTTTAAAGCAAAAAAAATACAGAGAAACCTCTGGTGATACCGCATTAAAGAGATATGAAGGTATCAAAGCATATATTTGACATTTCACATACTGTTTGGAGATCTTCATATTTCTTCCCACAACATTCACAATATCCTCTCTTTTTTTTGTCCTTCTGAGGAAACTGAGCAGGCATTCCACAATCCTTGTCACTGTTTATTTTGTTTCTGTTAAGAGAATATTAGTAAGTTTTAAACATGGAACTGAGTGCTCAACTTACTCTTCACAGTTATGTTCATTCTTACTCACTTAAAAAAACACCCTCAAAACAAACCTTTATTTCCCCTTAAACTACTTACCTTATTTTAGTCAATGCTCAAAAAAAAAAAAAAAAAACCAAACAAAACCTGAAGAGTTATGCATAGATTTAAAATGAAACAACAAAACCCAGAAACATTTATTGCAAGAAGACAGGCAGACCCAGTGGAATTATATTAATCATAGAACATCCAGGTTAGTATAGATGTATTACTATCATTGACTAAGATTAAATAATACAAAATTGCTAAACAAATAAAAATCAAAGGACATTTAGAAGTCTCTGTGCACAGCTGATAAAACCCAAACTAGAAACAGCAAAAAAAAAAAAAATTTAACACCCACTGTTGGTTGTACATAATTTTGAATATGCTGTCCAAATGCCATTTTGTCCTGTTTTTCTAGGTAAAGGCTAAGCGGGAATGCAAAAAAAGGAACCTAAAGTTCTTCCTGGACATTAAAACTTAAAGAGGTTTTCAACAGCTTCTCCACCATCTTCAGAATGCTCATCTGGGAAGAGCAACTGCTTGCTACAATCCACTATTAAACCACCTACAGCTGATATGCCACCAGTAAAGCAAAATCATCAATCTCTACTTCCTTCTGACTTTGAAGGAATAATTCCATCTCCTCGTTTAGCCAAAAATCACTGACAGATTTTACCAAGTATCTGCATAGACGTAAGCTCAGACTTTACATCTAAAAACCTGTCTTGAAAAATCACTAGCTTAAAAAACAATAGCAATGTATTGTTAATACCCTGCCCCAGTATTTCTTGGGTTCCCCAGGACAGGGCACTCTAATGTGTGCTATAACTGTTACACCAGCCTTCAGACCTTCCTCTGGAAAACAGTAAACCTCACAGAGAACCAGTAAAGTGGGATAGAAGCAATAGATGGATCATCTGAAGACTGAGTAAATCTGCAGGCCTTGCCCAATGCAGAAGCAAGCAGAACTAACAACTTCACTTCAACAACTTTTTCTCCCAGTTAAAGACAAAACAAGTGAATATTCCCCTCTCTCTCTGTCCCCCAAAACTGACACTGGTCACATTCACTTGCTGAGTATGAAACATTTTCCCACCCAAAACATCTCTTAGATATGTGCCCATGTGAAATATTAATTAGGAATTATATAATATATATAATTATATATAATATATATAATTCAGACATAAATCCTGAAATTTTTAATCTATCCTATTCCTTAATCCATCTAAACAAAAACTGCCTTTTTGGTTTTTAACGCTTTAAAAAGAATGGGCCTTTCCAACATCCTCTGAAGAGACACAATCATAAATTGCCTTATTAATACAGCAGTAACCCCTGCAATATATGTTTTTTACCTTTTCACTGCTGCCTTCCTTGCAATTTAAAAAAAAGAAAAAAAAAAGCTTCATGGCAATATCAGCTGAAACCTCCAGCACTGTATTATGGTCAAGACTGTACAGAACTGTGGAGAAGCCATTCATAAAGAAAACAGGTATCACAGCTAAATAAGTCTTCAGCCTCAAAGACAGGAAAGTAGCAACTTACTAAATACAGTAAGTTCCACATATAGCAAAGCTACCCTCCACCTAAATATATTCAGTCTCTCACATGAATTAGTTTTAGTAGTCAATGAAAAAAGCTAGGTAGAAAAAAAATTTTAAAACCCCACTGATTCACAAAAGACAGTTAATTTAGACTCTTAAGTAGTTTCGAATCATGAAACTGATTTGCTGAAGTTCTAACTGCATCTCTAGTGCTCAAATCGAGCCTGAATGCCAAAATGTATTACATAAACGCTTGCTGTAAAGCCAGCTGCAATTCCGCTGGGCAGCTGGCATCCACTTTTCATCTTTGAAGAGTTGAAGCAGTATCAGCAGTCTAATTTCTATAAATTATTAACAATATACACTCTTTATCAACAATGGTTAGGCACTGTAATTGAATATCACTGCTTTCAAAAGTTCAACTACTTATTTCAGCACTACATGGACAAATACAAAAGAAGTCTTAAAAAACCCATTTTCTGTGAAATACTTACTGAACAGCATCCAAGATGAGGACAAAGAAGAAACCAGTAGCAGAAAGGAAAAAAATATCTTATGCTGACCCACAGTGAAAGGAGAAGGCCACATTTTTGGATGTATGCATCTGTATGCCCAAAAAAAGGACTAAAGACAGGATAAAGAGGGTACAGATAGACACCAACAGTGCAGTAGATAACATGGATGAGACATGGCTATAGTATTAAATACCACAGAAAATTAGAAGTTGAGAAATTATTTTAGAATACAGTTAGTCATGGAATAATTCAGAGACCAACCCTCTCCTCTACCCACACCTCAGTAAAATAAAATGTTCAACAAACCTTTCCTTAGACTGAGTTTGCTTTTGACCAGGATACTTCTTATCCACCTCAAATGGACTATATGGCTTTGGAACACAATAGCTCAGAAATGGAAAACTCGGTAACTGCAGATAAAACGGTCGGTACTGGCTGTATTAACATAAAACAAGTGAGTGAGAACCATCAAAAATGGAAAAAGGGCCTAATTGCATACATTACTCCAGGTCCAAAATCTTGAAAAAGTGTTTATCCTTTACACATGACATACACAGAATGCTAGACAGATAAATATCTTAAATCATTCATTTCTTCCTTGATACTTTCCTTCAGTTCCCATAGCTGTCTTACACATTCCTTGTGATATGACTTGTGTGCCTATTAATTGTTGTGAGTTGGGTAACCAATAAACCCAAGAACAATTTGGACAACAGTGCCTTTGTGCTCCTGAGAAGTAGCTACAGCAGTTCCCAACATCCAGTGCTTTTTAAAAGAAATTATTTTATAATTTTCTTTTAAAAAAAATACTCACTATTCATAATATAAAAACTTTTTAATTTTTCAGAAAAACAATATTCCTGTACATCACTGGACTTTCAGAGATACCAGAACTAGCAACCACACCAGTGATCTGAATAGGTTAAGAACTTCCAAAATAGGACATGTCAAAAGTACACATACTGAATAATCCGTTGACTGAAATGCTGATGGCAGAGTACAGTCTGATTTTTTCCCCACATTACTATTATAAGCAACCCAGGCAAAACTACAAGAGCAGTCTCGAAACTATAATACAACAGTGAAGCATCACTTCTGCTTCTGAACTGTTACCTTTGTTGCACAAACATTAAAAAACATTATATTACATAAACATTTAGAAGTGTTTCAAGTGTTTTCACTACACTGTGAAATTCACATATATTTATATATTAATTTCTTATCCTTACAACTCTGTTGGTCCAGTTCTCCCCACTATCCCCATGTCCCTCAGACCTATTGCACCAACTCACAGTGTACAACCAGGTATAGATCTCTTGCTTAAGATCAGGAAAAGTGTCAGAGAAATCATGTCAAAGAGTTTGGTGCTTATAAACAACACCATAACTCAGAAGTTAGTTAGGAATTTAAAGGTGCAAATTATGCTGTGCAGAACCAAACTTTTTTTATGATTCACTGCTCTCTAAACTTCTAGTTAACTGGCATTTTCTTACACAACAAAGACTGACTGATTATAGGACCAGAAATATATGAAATTTTTCAAGGCTGAAAGTATCAAATCTCATGCTACTGTGGATACTGAAACCAGATTATGAGCTTGTAATTTTTCCTTTTAAAAATAAATGATTGAACAGGAAATTAAACCTAGTTTCAATGAATTATTTTAACTAACAACTTCACTTTCCTTACATCTAAAGAGTCACAGCAGGAGATGAATGTAACCGAGTTGGAACTACAGGAGTGGAATTCAGTATGCAAAGTTTTGGACTACAAGACTTGGATCTAAGGAAAGATGTAAGTAAAGGTTCATGATTCCCTTTCATTCCTTGGTAGGAAATAACCCAAAGAACCCATTTTCATGATCTACAAACTGGAGTTACCTGTTAACTTGCCACTTCCTTTACCTACTGCAAACATTCCCTACTATACTACTACTTGCTCAATTTCATTTGGTGGCTAAAGACATTTGTATTTCATTTTAAGAGGGCAGTACACTTGACATCTGAAGTCAGGAAGCTGAAAGGAATTGAGATTTAAGGACACACTTCCTCAAGTAATCCTGATTTACTCAGTTTGAGAACCACATTACTAAATGCATGAAGAGAACACTTACCGACTCCTATCTTCTACCCTGATAAATGGACTTTTCAGTCTACCTGCTCAAAGGGGGAGAAAAGGAAATCAATAGAAAAATACTTTTCATCATTTATCAAGTTGCTCCAGTAGCTTAATAAATAAGAAGCCTTTATTTTAGAACTCATTATGTACAGGTTTTGACAAATTCTTGATTGCCACAAAGTTTCTCTACATGCTTCTCTTGGACATACAAATTGAAGTACAGCACTACATTTGACCACAGGAGAACTGTAGCATATTTTTAAGCATTCAGAAAATAAATCAAGCCAGAAACCTCTACAATTATTGAAGTACTTACTTTTTGACTTTTGAGCAGTAACATGTTTTCCCTATTGAAAAAAGAGAGATGGTATAAAATCCCTGTGAGTATTATTCTGCACTGTACTTGAAGATTTACCTATTTACATAATTTAAGTTATGAGAGTCTCCCTATGTTAATCATGACTTCATATATTCATGATGAATTTTCAGGAAAATAAGTTCATTAGTACTTTGAAAAAAGGCAACATGTTTCCTAAAGAACTATTTCTTTCTACACTGAAAGAAGTACTCTCCTTAAGATGCCTCAATTTATTTTTTCTAAAAAACAAAGAAACCCAGAAAGGTAAATTTATACACTTACTTTCACCACCCTGAAAATACCTTGCCATGGTTGAAAGTTCAGTCTTTAACACAGACAACATATTTACAACATTTTGTAAATCCTAATTAACTGCAAGCTGCAAAATGACACCAAAACCTGTAGAACAGCAAGTATCTCCAACTAAAACAATTATTTTCATTTGAATGGGTTTACACAGGCTGAATCTTTCATAGTTTTTAGCAATGAAGACTAAAATTTAGAGGAATATCTTTTCTTCAGAAAAAAGGGAAGTCTACATTCAAGCATCAGCTGTTAAATGTAATTGATTCTGGTAAAAGTACAAACCCATTTTATACTATTTGCAAAAACACCTCACCTGTTATCCACTAACACAGTGATGATTTGGCAGAGGACTTTATGTGGCCTCAAGAACTAGCCATTACGACATTCCAAAACAACGTAACACACGCTGGATAAGTTTGGTTCCATTTCTTTTATTTATCTAGCCTCATGGCTAAACAAGACAATTGTGCAAATTACAGAGCAACTGCAGATGGAGCACACAAGAGCTACAAGCTTTTAACATCTCACTACATCATAGACTAAAAACTTGAGAAAAGGGGATTTTCACTCGCCAACTCCACAATTTGGCAAATTAGCTTCAAGATACCTTATGCTCATTCTCTATTAAGAGTTGCAGATTCCTTATAGAGACAGCTCCTCCAGGATATATAACTATGATTTTTTTTAAATGGCCCATCAAAATGAAAGAATTACTAATCACTGTGTCCTGGGGAAAATTATACAAGGCAAGT